CATCTAGAGAGGGCGGATAATTAATTCTTCTGAGTTGTAAGTTAACATAAAGTTGAGATGTCGCATCAATCAATCCATAAAGATAAAAGAGGATCCTGACACAAATATACATCTCTAAAATTGATGACGGAGAGGCCTTTGTTGCAAAGTGCCTCGACATTCCTGACACTTCGGTAAGAGGAGATGCCTCGACAATTACTTGGGGAGATGCTTGTGCCTCGTAGCATGTTAGCGTTGAGGTTCTGGCGAGGCTAGTATTGCTTCGGAATGACATTAGATCACTTCAAAACCAATTTGGTAGGACACGTGGCACCTTGCTATGAAATAGGCTGGAAGTGCCACAATGGATTAGTGAGGGGCATAACAGTAGCAAAACAACCTTTTAAGAAACCTCTATAACTGCGAAATACTCCACCACAGCCACTAAGATGTAGGTTACCAAAAGCCACTCCATCCGTGTTAACCTTAACGGTGGGGGCTCTAAATAACCTCTAAAATAGAGGAGCTTTAAAGCATTTTTTGGGTAGTGTTTTAAATATTGTGAATAAAATGTTATTTGAGTGTTTATAGACATTGGTCAAACATAGGCCTAGATGGACAACTTAAGCGGCTGAAGTATCATAAATTCATCCATCAAACTTTTCATCATGCCATCCTCCTCATTATTGCTTAAATCACTTAGGTAATGTTTGATTGCTCCATTTTTTTCATTTCCAACTTTTGATTGTTTGATTTTCCAAAATTTTTCATGGAATTGAAATTCTCACTTTCTTGTCACGTTAGCATTTTCCATGAAATCATGAAATTGGAATTCTCACCAAAATAGTGAGAATTGGAATTCTCGATTACTGTAGCACTTTTTTAATTTTTAAAAATTTTTTTTTGGCAATGGAAATAAATTATAAGAATTATCGTAAAAAAAATATTTCCCTTTTACTGACAATTTTCGTGTAAAACAAAGCCAAACGAATACCAAAAGATAGATGATTTTCTTATTTTTTTTGTTGGTAATGGAACCAAATTTTATACCCAATACCAATAAATTTTATCTCTTTAATTGACAATTTTCATGTAAAATAAAGTCAAACGAATATCAAAAAATACTTTTATTTCAACATTTTCCACGTGAAAAATTATACCAATCAAACACAATAATTTACAATTCCCAGGAAAACAATTTCTACGCAATTCAATTCCCTGGAATTCGTTTTCAATTTAATTCAATTCCATCTTTGCAATCAAACGGACCCTTATGGTATGTTTGATTGGAAGTAGAATTCCATGAAAAATGGAATTGGAATTCCACCTTCCAATTTAACTTTATTTGATACCCATTTTTTCCTTAGAAATGAAATTTCATCTTTGGTGCCACATAAGCCAATTTCCATGAATTCAAGGAATTGCAATTCCAGTTACTGTAGTTTTTTTTTCGATTTTTTTATTTATTTATTTTGGCAATAGAAACAAATTTTAAGAATTATTGTAAAAAAAATTTCTTTTAATTGACAATTTTAATGTAAAACAAGGTCAAACGAACACCAAAAGAAAAATAATTTTTTGATTTTTTTTGGCAATGGGAACATATTTCTTTTCCAATACCAGTAAATTCTATCCCTTTAATTGATAATTTTCATGTAAAACAATGTCAAACAAACACAAAAAAAAACACTTTTATTTCAACATTTTTCACGTGAAAAATTATATCAATCAAACACAATAATTTACAATTCTCAAGAAAATAATTTCTATGTAATTCAATTCCCTGAAATTCGTTTTCTAGGCAATTCAATTCCACCTTTACAATTAAACGGACCCTTAGAGAAACAACTGATAATTAATTTCGAATTAAATTATGTATACTATGTCGATATTCATTTTACTTTTCATTTCGAAAGCTAACAAAATACAATGAAGTATTTTGATTAAACGAAATTATAAATCCAAAAACGAGATCCCGTGAAATAATGTCATTCAGCAACCTACTAGAAATTACAACATAAATTTTTGACCCTCAAAATATTTTAATTGCCATATTGTTGTATAACAAAGATACCTAGAAAAAGTTGAAGTCCTTTCAATTATTTGATTAATTTGTATCCATGTCCCCACGAACTCACCAGAACGTAAGAATTGTTCTAGTCAGACAAAATTTATAACAAATATCCACCATACTCTGATTAATTATTCATATTTATATTGATAAATTACTCATATTTGTTGCCTTCCAAATTTGAATGAACATCGTACCACTTTTTTCTGAATCACGTTTTACTAGTATGTGCACACGTTTAAAGAAAAGTAATTGGATTAAAATTTTAAATAAATTACGATAAGTTGTCAATGGATTTGAATGAACATCGTACCACTTTTTCTGAATCACGTTTTACTAGTATGTGCACACGTTTAAAGAAAAGTAATTGGATTAAAATTTTAAATAAATTACGATAAGTTGTCAATGGAGAATTTACGGGTGGGTCTATATAAAAAAATAAAATAAAATAAAATATTGATGGTCGAGTCTTCCCACTAATCCTTCTTGGTCCTCAATTTAATTGTTTTTTGACCCACTTAATTGACTTTGTATAATCATGTCATGTAAATGAAAACATGGCTTTATTCTAAAGATTTTGTTCAAAGGTGGAATTGACGAATATTATATTTTTGAGTGCGTGTTCGATTAGGGCTGGGCAAATCTCCCGAACCGAACCGACCGAACCGAACCCGAACCGAACTGATCCGAACCCGACGGTTCTTGTCAAATTAAATACCCGAACGGGTATTTGAATTGAGAACCGACGGGTACGGTTCGGTTCTCGGTTCTAGACCAAGAACCGAAAAACCGAATAAGAACCGAATCTTTCTTTTTTTTTATATTGATTAAATCAAATTATTTTAATTTTAATTTTTTCTAAACAAATTAAAAAATTAATGATT